AGTTTTTGGCTGGGGCTGGGTTTGAACCCACCACCTCCAGCATATGGAGCCAGCGCCCGACTCCTTTGAGCCACAGGTGCTGCCCAACAACTTTATTTTTTAGATAAAGAAACTTTATTTTTTTAACTTTAAAAATGCAGTAAGTTTGAGTACATGTTGTTTGATTCAGTGCTTTTGCAGTAAAAATTAAGATGCTATTACAAATATATGATATTTTCACATATATTTCTAGTCGTCCCTTTTGATAGCCCTTTTATCTCTACTCACTTGTGAGGGTGTTGTTTCCTTAAAATGTCAGGTATCCGTTCTAAGCATTTGTTTAAGTATGCGCTCACTGAAGTTGCTCTGAAGATAATTTGCCAGCACCACCTACTACCATGAAAAGACTGGATTTTTAAATTCCCAGTAGATAGACAAATGATGAAGGCAGAAATGAGTCATAAAGGCTTTCCTAATTTAAAGAACATGATATAGTTGAAGAACACCGGATCAGATCAAAGAGATGGTTCTACTTGAGATTGCTCCTCTGATTTGCTGTGGATTTTAGTTGTCATCGTGTTTCCAGCTATAGCTTCCTGCCCCACTAAACTTCCATTTCTAACTCTCATCTCTGTCTATCCACAGACGTTTATATAGAAGGAACACAGTGTCAGGTTACTAGCGTGACCAAGGAGTGTGCTTGGAAAAGCTGCCTTTCTGCTTCAGGCTGACATTTTTACATTTTCTTTAGTAAACTATGTTCTACAGTCAAAATAAATCTCATCCTGCATTGTCAATGTCCCCAATTCTAAATTTAGGCTTAGTGTAGTTCCACTATACCAATTTTTAAATTACATGTATTGAGTTTTATGGAATATGAAACAATATAGATTGTTATAGAAAATTAGGAACGACATTTTTAAATCATAAAATTTCTGCAGTTTCACTATTCGTAACACACTGACAACGTTTTGGTGTGTGCATTCTTCCGATCTTAAGTATTTGAGCTGCAATATATTTGCAGCCATATATTTGCAAATACATACACAGGCTTATATATATTTATAAATCATGGATATATTATATATGGTATTTTCATAATCTAGCCCTTGAAATTTAACTCTATATTATGTCATAAATATTTTTTCTACAACATGATTTTTTGATGTCTGTGGAGTATTCTCTATCTCACTGATCCAAATTTCAGTTCAAATTATATACTATACACAGGATATATTCCATTCATCATAAACATGTTTTTCAACAAACCAGTGAAATTTCAAGATGTTCTTTTTCCAGGGACCTCTGGAGAAATCCTTACAAAGTTCTTCAGTTTCTGAAAGACAGAGGAATGTAGAGCACAAGGTGGCTGCCATTAAAAACAGCGTGCAGGTGAGTGATGGCCCAGAGGCAACTAGAAAGGCTTGTCCCATCCCCTGCGAGGGACTGTGCACCATTCTGCAGGCCCAGAGATAGTGAGTGCAGAAATCTTAGGGAAGTTTGTTAACAAGATCAATCTCGCACACACTATGTTTATACAAAAGAAAATTTCTTTGTGGGAAGCTTTTTAACTCCAATTTAACCTTTTTTGATAACGGGTTATTCAGGTTATTTCTTCTTTCTTAGTATTTTTTTTTTTTTTTTGAGACAAGTGTCACTTTGTTGCCCTGGGTAGAGTTCTGTGGGATCATCATAGGTTACAGTAAACTTAGACTCTTGGCATCTTCTTTTCATTTCTTTCTTTCTTTTTTTTTTTTGTTAATCAGGCCCAGGGGGGTTCGAACCTGCTGTCCCTGGAGTGCAGGGCCAATGTGCTGTACCCAGCTCTCAAACTCTTGGGCTCAAGCCATCCTCTTGCCTTGGCCTCTTGAGTAGCTGGGACTACCGGTGCCCACCATAATACTTGGCTGATTTTTCTATTTTTAGTAGAGACAGGATCTGACTCTTGTTCAGGCTGGTCTCTGACCTCCTGAGCTCAAGGAATCCACCCACCTCGGCCTCCCAGAGTGCTAGGATTACAGGCGTGAGCCACCATGCCCAGCCTATCTATTTCTTCCTGAATGAGCTTTCAAGAAATGCATTCATTTCATCTGTCTCTATTTGGCGTAAACATATTTGAAATATTCCTTTGTTATCCCCCCTGTAGAACTTGTAGTGATATCACATCTCTCATTTAATATTAGTAAATTTTGTTTTTTTTCTTTTTTCCCTAATCAGTGTGGCTAAAGATTTATCAATTTTATTGATCTAAAGATGTCTTAAATAAGACTAACTTTTCACCTTGTTATATATAAAAAAGAAAGTTAATTTCCTTTCCAGAATTTACATAGCATTCATTTCCTTGCTGTCTACAAAAATAATAATTTCATAAAATTTAACAAATGATAGATACTTAAAGATTAACTTCCCCATAGCATTGTCTGAACAGTAGGCAGAGGCTTTAAATAACCATATTTCTGAGCATTTATTTTGAGACTTTGATTTCATGATCTTCCATAACATGTAAAACATGCATGCAGAAAGTCTCCTCATACTCTGTCGCAAGAAAGAATAGGTTCTCAGATGGACCAAAGACAAAATGCCTTGGCACATCTTGTTCAACCAAGGCCTGTGCTGACTCTGTACGTGTGTAAAGGCAGGAGATGGTTGTTCTACTCTGGTAAGAATACCTAAGCACGTCATTCAAGTGCACAGCTGGGTTTGCAGCCAGCACCAGTTCTTTTTAAACTCCTGAGAAGTGTGATACAGCAAAGGCCCACCTTCTGGAGCCTGGACCACATTTCTCCAGGCTGCACGCTGATCCCCAGTGGCTATGAGTATTGGCTGCCAGTGGCGTCTCTGGAGAACTGTCTCTACAAAGAGCCTTCAGCTGCCTTCAGACAACGACTGAGTGACACAGTGACACAGAGAGGGTGGACAGAAAAGGCCAGACCCTTTCCCTCACATGGCTTAACTCTGTGGTGCAGGTCATGTTCCTGGGTCCTTTATGGAATCCAACTGAAATTAGACCCCAGCAAAAACCACACGTTTGCTTAGCTCCAGCCCCTTCCTGCTCCCTGACCTGTGTGTCCTTTCTCCTGAGAGTGTTCCCTCAATAAATCCCACAAATCTGATTCCTGTCCAGGAAGCCTGGCCTAACGTTTAGACAAAGCAGCACTTTTCAATCAATACATGTCCCGCACTTACGCCAAAGCCTCAGTTTCTCTGTGGTATGGTTGAGAATAGGGCATGCCTGTAAAGATTTCCAGACCTTCTGGAGAACTTTCAAAGGTTATTGCTGGGTGTTGTGATATTTTGCAATTACTGAAGACAGTGCAGTCTGAAAGCCTTTTAATTACTTTAACATTGACCTTGCAGAGGTCTGGCATTGGTTTAACATGCTTCTCATTACAAGGAATCTGCAAGGTGTTGCCTTCTTTCAGATTTTGATGAATTTTGAGATCAAGAGATAGGACCGCGGCATATCTCTGCTTTAAAACGATATTATTTTATTACATTTCCTGATGCCTGTGGGTTCCCTGACTTTTGTCCTATAGACCCTTAACATTAAAGTGAAATGGTACTTTAAACTGGCACTGGGGTGCAGTGAACAGAAAGAAACTTTGAAGCTAGACTAGACTGAATTTGAACTCTAGCTTAAGTATTTATTACTGTATGACAGTGACTTTCAGTTTCTTCTCATGAAAAATGGAAGTAAATTACTTTGCAGATTTCCAACAGGACAGTGCATACATTGGCGCAGCACGGGTTGCTCAGAAATTGGTAGCTGTTACTACTGTGCATGGGAGAGAACGCAAAATATAGTCAATACTGTTACTTTGTTTCTTTCCTGAGGTTTATAAATATAGAAAAGTTATTTTAGAGAACAAGATAACAAACTGGGATAAGAAGAGCAATCACAGCTAATGCTTTTGAAGCGTGTATTTGTATTAAACTGTATTAAGCAGTTTAGCTCAATAACAACTCCACCAGGTAGATACTGTGATCCTTGTTCCCCACCCCACCACCCCATTTTACAGATGAAGAATCTGAAATGCAGAGACATCTATCTGCCCAAGATCGTATAGCTAATAAGTCACAGAGTTGAGAGACTATGTCAGACTCTTAGACTCCAAATTGGATACTTTGCTTAATATAATGTAGCTGACTAAAATTTGGAACTTCTGCAGGAAGAAATTCCAGAAATAGGGGGTAGATGTATGTTTTCTTAGAGAAGACATCTTGGAATAAGTGGGCAGTTGAAAGTTACACTTTCTAACAAGAAAAGGAAGTGTAGTGTGGTTTGAAACCAAGGAAGCAGTGGGTCTGGCTAGGGTGGGGGTCAGGGTCAGACTGCCAGACCTCTCCCAGACACCCCAGTTGGCAGTTATGTGAACTTGGACAAGTAAGTTACTTCACATCTTTAAGTCTCTGCTTCTTCCTCTGCAAAGGTGAGGACAACCCACTTCATGGTGGTTGTGAGGACGAACTGAGGTCATATAAGAAAAGCCTTTAGCCCAGATCTTGACCTTTAATGGCTGTTATGGGTGAGCAGCAAAGTATCACCAGGTTTGGAGAAAAGCAAAGTAAAAATCTCCAAGACAGAAACAAACAAGAGATATAGACAAAACATAGATCTATTTTAAGTAGTAGAAAGAAAAAAAGTATTTAGGCTGAATTATCTTAAACTACAGCATACTTGGAGATTTAAGCAAAACGTGAGAACTGATATATTAATACAGAGTTATACAAAACTACTCAGCCCTGATAAAAGGACAAAAATATCTATAGTCTCCAATAAAAAGAGATTATATAAAAAGCATCATTTGGAACGAATCGAGAAATAAGAGATAAGATGCTGAAAGATGTCCAGTCAAGTAGAAAGAGACGATAGTGGGAAGAGTAGGTTCGAGCTGGTTCTCCCAGCGCTGCCTGCGCACCTGCCGTGGGCATCGGCTCTTCAGAGGTGTGGGCTCACCACCGTCTCCCTGTAGGACAGGGGAGCACCAAACGGTGCGTCTGAAAATACCTAATTGTAACAGCGGAGTAAGTCATGTTTTCTTTTGTGAAAAGATGACAGAACAAGACACCAAATACTTAGAAGACCTGCAAGACGAATTTGACTACAGGTATAAAACAATTCAGACAATGGGTAAGTTTTGATTTCTATATAATTCTATATAGTCCCCACAAGGCAGCAGGCCCAGGGTTTCTTCTTTATGGACAGAACTGGTAAATGCATTTGATCTGCTTTCCTAGG